CACGACGGGACTGGAGAGTGCAATAACTAAAAAATCATTCAGTTAACGCACTTCTCTAAAAATAACAGAATTTAACCCACTCGAAGATCAAAGGAAAAATTACCATTCAACGTTACAATTATAAATATATTTTTCTGTACAGTGGCTACCGCTGCTATAGGCTTGGTTAAGCTTAGTTTGTCCTTTATAGTTTGCTTTTCTTACATTTATGTTGCATTCTTATTTCTCGTTATTCGCTGATATTGCGTTTTGAAAATATAAATAAATTACTTCAGACTCTATAAAATGTGCAAAAAGAGTGTAAAAGAGGACATGGAATAGGTAACAATTCAACTACCTTTTTACCATGGTTGGAAGTTCGATTCCGGCCATCTCATTCTTTTCTTGCTTTTCTTTGAATTTTCTTGATTAGCTTAAATTGCCCTTGATTTAATAGACTAAAGATTGGTCCAAGCCCCTAAGATGTCCGCACCGCGTCATTCACTACAAATAAAAGGAACTCTCATCCCAGTGTTTCGTGCCTTCTAAACAAAAGGTTTAATAATCTTTATCAGAGTTTGATGAAATCTATCAATCGACTTAAGTTTTATTTCTAACTGGTTTATCCTTATCGGAAAAACATCTGACATATCAAACACAAATCCGGATGTTTTAAAGAGGACCTAATTATGTTTTTTTTATTCTGTGCAGTGTCTGATGCAGACATTTTTTTTATGATATTGCACAGCTTACATCTTTACGTGAAATTTACTGTTCACTATATATATATATATATAGTTGATTACAACAGCATTTAGGAAGACAAGTCAATCACATTTGGACATATCTTTACTTCCAACCTAAACACTTTATTCATTACTTTTGACTAATAATTTGACCCGAACGGAAACTGGAAAAAAAAGGAAAGTGTTTCTCATTCCTTAAACTGGAAACATTTTATGATAAAACTTTATGTACAATGTAAATCTTAAATCAGTGTTTCAAAGTCGAACCAGATAATTATATTTTTTTTATAATTTCTGCCAAAAATAAATGTATTTTAGAATATCCAAATAAATGAAATCTGATTTGGATTAGTTTTGTGCGCAATGAAATTATGACGACTTTGTAAATGTTTATTCCTTATTAGTGACTATTTTATAAGTATGTGCCAAAACTCTTAAAAATACAAGTTGTAGATCAATCAGAGTTTAGATGCGGCATGTCTTCAAAATTAATCACTGCTTACAGTCGAAAAATTATGAGGGGAGGTTAAATAGTGAAGATTAAAACTTTTTTACCTGTTTAACTTTCACTATAAATTTTGGCACATCTCTCTTCGATTAATAGTCTTCCTCTGAGCATATTCTTGAGAGAAAAATTTTGACTTGATTTAACAGAAACGATCAAAGATCTGCCATTAAAACGCAATCCTCAAAATGATTTAACAATTTAAGAGAAAGCCTGAATATATATAAAAAAAAAATAATAATTTAAAAGTTACTAACCTTTTACTACTTCCAGGCGTCTTTCCCATCGTTGAAAGCATAGGTTAAGAAAAAAAATGGTTCAGCTGATATTGAATATCAAGATTTTATTTTTATTAATTCATTCTTTAAACGTAAGAAATATGTATTTTAATTCCCTTCAGTAACCAACAATACTAGTCCGAGATTTCATTCCAGTAAAGTCATAGGAAGTTGCATTTTTACAGCTAATATAAGCCTGATCAACATATTGATTAAGATTGTTAACATTTCATGCCTCTTAGTTTACAAAACATGCAGACCCGATGACGATCTCCCTGAACCGAAGCTCAATATTGAATCTCAATACGACTAAGTGTTCATTTTACAATCAATTAAAACAATGTCCTTGAATATTTCCTTACAAAACTGATGTGCTCATAATATGACAAATATTCAACTTAATCCATAAAAAGTACTAAAGTCAATAATTCTTAGACATTCTTAGTTAAAAAAAGCAGCAAAAAAAAAAACTTGCCGTTATCATGTCCTGTGAAGAGCGGACCTTTATTTCTTAAGGTCTGCCTATTTTTTTCCAAAAAAACATCTTAGAGATTAGAAAAACACTACTAGTATTTTAAACGTACTTTTATAGCTTGCTGTTCGGTGTGATCCAAGGCTCCGTGTTGAAGGCCGTACTTTGACCTATAATGGTTTACTTTTACTAATTGTGACTTGGATGGAGAGTTGTCTCATTGGCACTCATACCACATCTTCTTATATCTATTACACAGGCAAATTTTGTTCACGTGAATTTCACGTGAGTCTCATTTCACGTGAAATTCACGTAAAATTCACGTGAGTTTCACATGAATTTCACGTGAATTTTTGCTCACGTGAATATCACGTGAATTTTTAATGTGAATTTCACGTGAACAGTTTTCACGTGAAATTCACATGAAATTCACGTGAAACTCACATGATCTGACTTACGTGAATTTAACGTGAACTTGTTAACGTGAAACTCATGTGAAATTCATGTGAATTTCACATAAACTTTTTTTCACGTGAAATTCACGTGATCTCACTCACATGAAATTCACATGATTTGACTCACGTGAATTTCACATGATCTGACTAACGTGAAATTCACGTGAAATTCATTTGATCTGACTGAGGCTAATTTTTTATATAATGTGCTTACGTGGTTGGTTTTGCACAAGAAAAAATCACTGTTTAAAATAATTAAGTGTGTGCACTAATTATTGCCATTTTGACATAATCGCCAAAATGTAAAAATAATTATTGAAGAAGAATTAGAATAAGAATATAGATATTTTATTTGTTTGAAATACAAAAAATTAACAAATTCTAACAAAATTTCACAATAAACATTTTAAAAACATACTCAGGAGAACATTTTTACTAGCACTTTAATATAATTTACATAAAAGGGGGACATATAACCATCAAATGATTAATATTTATCTTTTTATTTCGCATGAATTATCTCCCTTGGATTAGATGCAACTACAAAAAGATCAGTGTTGGTTTTGAGTTGTATTTTCTGTCACTGTTTATATTAATCTCTAGTAGAGCAATAAGGGTAGAATTTGTATCTTTGATTTCAAATTCCTAGATACCTAGATTATATTGATGGGCTAATATTGATTTATCAGTATATTTCTATTATTATTTATCAGTAAACTTAATTTCTTTCACACATTGAAAGTTTTCTTTATTTTTGACCTCTTATAAAATATGGGAGGTAAATCCAGCTTATGAAATAGATTCCTGTTACAGTAATTAAGATCCTTTACTTTCCATAATTGCAAAGAAAAAAAATGATAATGAATATGAATTGAATATCAGTTACTTCAAAACCTGAGTTATCTCCCTTTTTTGCTGTGTATTAAACTTTTCCTCAAACTTATAAGTCAAGTACAATTTTGAGCTTTTAACCACACATTAGTTTAACAATAGGACATATGAATAAAAATATGTAAGTGTGCTGAAAAGAATTTTATTGGGCCAAATGTTGTCAATAAATGTAAAATTGAATGTTTATCAAAGTATATATATTGGAAGTGCAGTATATTTTTAAAAATGCTTTGCTTTCATAAATATGAAAAATGTTTGATTTAATGAGTATTACAAAAGCGGTAAATGCTAACTACTCCCTCATTAAAAAAAAGGAAGAAAAAAGAAAATATCTTCTCTCAGGGATTGCATGTGTATCAACTGGATTGCAATTTATGTGTTGGTACACTTCAAAATATTTTATAAACCTTTTTATAATGATCAAGATTTCTCAATTTTTCCTTTTGAGTTAATGAGTTGTCAGGGTTTGTCAATCAATGGGAAAAATTTTAAACTAAATATTAATTTTATAATTTCAGTAGTAACTAGGTAGGGATTTATTCTAATTTTATGTTGTGTTTTTTTTACATTGAGTCTATGGGAGTAACATTCTGACTTAACAGTGCTTAATGAAAAATGACAAAAAAATCTTTAGGGTAGGCTATTATTAAGACTAAAAAGTAGGGTAGTTAGGGTAACGGTGAGTGGAACCACACATATAACATAGGCGAATCCAGGGGGCTCTGCCACCCCCCCCCCCCTTTTTGTGGGAAAAATTTTGGTTGATTATATAGGGAATCACTGAAGCATGACTGGAGCGGCCCCCCCCCCTTAGGTCAGTTAGTGCCCCCCACCCTATGAAAAGTTCTGGATCCGCCAATGTATATTTTTATATGGCTTATTAATAAGTATGTTTTAAGAAGATAATTAAGGATTGTCTGAAATAATTTGTTAATGTATAGCGAATGGTTGGTTAAATTTACAACTTTGATAGATCTGATATTATTTATTAAAAAAAAACTACAGTCTTGAAATATGTAAAACCAGGAATTTTACACCTAAAAATGCTGTATAATTTTCAAATATTTTTAATTATCTTTTAAAATTTATAGATAATAAACATATTTAAAGTCCTATATAGTGTCCCAGGCAAATGCATTAATGTGCTATGTATGTTATCGAAAAATATTGATTGACATTAAATTATTACCAGAGACATATATACTAAATAATGTCTCTAATATTATTTAGCTGTAATAAATGTGAGGGTATGATTGCCAATTAGACAGGCTGTTAATTGGATTAAACATATATATTCTTCAACTAAATGAAATAACTTCATTGAAATTATATCAAACAATATAGTTTATATTATATTAAAATATATCAAATAGTTTTAAGGGTTAAACTTTATGCTCTACTAAAGGGGTGCTCCTATGTAAAGGATGCTTATAAACAAAAGAATTTGTTATTTGTTCATTTATATGTCTTACTTAGTCAGGACTTTAAGCAGTAAATATCATTTTAAAACTGAATTGAGTCAGTAAAGTCGGGAAGCTGATTATGCTAAGAAATATTGGATATTGGTCTATTGAATGGGGAAACCAGCATGTACCTATTTGCACATGGATAACTATTCTTCGTGATATCCGGGACCGGAGATCGGTTTTTAAAACGCTTGAAAGATTTAGATGAATGATGCAAAGAAGACGCCGGTAGCCAACTGACAACAACTTGAACAAGTACTTGTTTCTGTTTATTTAACGAGACAAACACAATCAAGGAGCTATGAACACATAGATACTCGCGAAAATAATACAGGTAACTCAAATAAATGATTTAATAGTGCAGAAATAAACAGAAATAGTGAGAATGTTTTTCAACTTTTGACCTGATCAGTTCACAGTTGTAAAACTCCGTTTAAAATAAACACTCATTAGACACACACACATGTATACTCAAAAGTTGATACAAAACAAGAAACTCGATATTGATTTGATATTTATACATTGTATATAGTTTTACCATGACAAATTTACAGATCAAGTTCAATATTTATTCTGTTGAGATGTTTTTCTTTGCATTATGCATAGCAGATTAGCTACATGTATGGTCCTTGGACTTGGAAAATTCAGGCAAATAATCTGTTTTTCACTTTCTTTGTTTGTTATACTTGGAGATATTGATTTGGTAATTGTCATGAATCATGATTGTTGTATAGTTTACCATGACAAGTTGCATATACAATAATGAATTTAGGGCCCAAAAACTAGGATTTTCTGGTTTCCATACATTAATTTGAATATAATATAAAAATAAGAAGATGTGGTATAATTGCCAAATAGACAACTCTCCATCCGAGGTCAAATGACATAGAAGTAAATAACTACAGGTCACGGTACGGCCTTCAATTATGAGCAAATCCCATACATTTCTATGGATCTCTATGAAATTGAACTTCAAGGTTCATACCAAAAAAAGGAAGGTTGGGATTGATTTTGGAGGGTTATGGCCTTAACCATTCAGGAGTTAGCATGGTAAGGCCAGGGTTTTTTAATTTGTTGGTTCGGTTGGTCGAGAATAAAAAGAAAAATAATATCTTTCAAGACAGAAAAAATATATTTCACCTTACTAACAAAATGTTTGGTTTGCTATCTTGTCATCGCTTAAATTCTAGTTCCATGAATAATTATTGCTCAGCTGTTATAAACATAAATATATACAATATATGTACATTGTCGGAAAATATATAATTTATTTGTATAAGCTTTAGAAACAGGACGAAAAGCGAGGCTCGCCAAGCTTTTCTCCTGTTTCGTAGCGAGTACAAATAAATTTTATATTTTCCGACAATGTACATATATTGTTTTTATCCTGAAATTTACACCCAAAACTTGAAACTTTAGTTGTTAAAATCTAAATCATTGTCTCTAATTATTCAAAGAAATCGACATAGTTTGAACACGGACCGCGAAAAGGACCCCAAAATGAACTGGTACGCAAAAAGAAATATCCACATAACCGCTTGCTCAACATGGAAGCGGGGTAACAGGAGACTTTATTTGTACAAGTACAAATAAAGCAAAAATTTATTTGTGTACCTGTTATTTGTACATTAGTTAGCTGATTGCAGGATAAAATGCATGCCATCATCATACAATTTCCAAATAGGGGGGTTATGTCCAAGGTCATACAATTTCCAAAAAGGTGGGTTATGTCCAAGGACATAGAAAATTAAATCGTTATTTCATGAACAAGAAAAAACAGATCCACCAATTTCAGGAAGACAATACATCATGAAGAACAGGAATAAAAGCCCTGTTCATTGATAATTTTCTATGTTTTCTATGTATTGTGTGCGATTTTGTCCCATGTATATTTACTCCATATCCTTTCATTTTCTATTGGTGAATAATGATCTTCAAGCACGAAAACTAATACATTAAAATTGCAAACACATCGTACGAAAATAAGCTTTACCATTCTTGTCAAAAACATAACAGACTTGTCCACTGGAAAGACGAAGATATCAGATTCATGAGTTGTCATGCATTCCCATTTTTGATATCCAAATGGACGTTTTTTTTTTATTATCTATGAAACAAGAAAATTCCAAATTGTTTGTGAATATCTATAATTTAACTTGAAATCTTCCACATTTGGACAGGTCCATTTCATCTATGAGATGATACATCTTACAGATTTATGAAAAAAAAAGGGAAACAAACTTATTGAAATGGGTTTTAAACACAGGTTTCGCTCCGCTGCAAAATTATTTGCGCAAACAACATTTTAAGGTCAATTATGATTGACTTGTCTATTTTTAGATACGACACAATGTGTTATCAATTCTGTTAGTGTTTGATGCATTTCATAAAAAAGAAAATTTGTATTTATATTTCAGGGATAAGGTTTTAAGGTTTTTGTAAGGGTCAGCGGGAATAAAAAGCATGAAATGTCAATTTTATTTTTATTCTGCAAATCAGAAAAATAGGGTCCGCGGATCCGTAAACCAACAAATAAAAAAGCCCTGGCCTAAGGGGCCTAAACAATACTTTTCTAATACACTGTACAAGTTACCTATTTCTTGACCAATTTCAATGAAGTTGAATGCAAAGTCTTGAATTTTTCGGGTACTTTAATATGCTGAATTAAACTTATCTTGTATTTTAGAGTTTGAATATTTGGATCTGTTTTTAATCAGTCAAGGGACTTACTTTAATGAGTGATTTTCTAAATCACTGATTCAAGTGACATTATGTCCACAAATGTTGGAAGTAAGAGTTGTCATTCTTCAATAATCACCAATTTAAGTTGTACATGTACAAATAAATCACTAGACTAAGTGATTTCATTTATTGTAGCTTTAAATGTATAATACATGCATGGGCTTATTATGTTGCTAAAATTACCAGAACCAACATCTGTGTTTATAGACTGTCCAGTCATGTCAAGAACCAACATCTGTGTTTATAGACTGTCCAGTCATGTCAAGTGATAACCTTGTACTGAATCTGGGATATTGACATGAAAATCACTTGTTTAAGTATCATACCTCTATTTATTTTAAAAAATCACTTCTTTAAGTATTATTATTTTAATTACCCCCCCCCCCCCTAATTTCAACACCCCCGAACAGTGAAATTTTGATGGTGAACAGTAAAATTTTATTATCTGTTACATTGTGTTAAGAAAGGAAAGTTCATTTATTTCAATTTTACTAATAATTAGATATAAACTAAAACTGTATGTTAAAAATGTTGGTAAAACTACAAATTGACAAAATTTCTTATTTGCAACATTTTTGCACTTAAATGAGTGATTCATAAATCAGTTACAGAACAACCGGGCCCTGACTGTTAATTGGTCCACATTGTGATCTAAATTGTCAAAACTTAAACTTTGTTGAATGCCATCAAAAATTGAATTATTGATTTTTTTTTTATATGCAGAATCTAACCGTGTATATATATTTGGATTTTTAATTTTGGGTCTGGTTTTCAAATTTGTCTTCATAAAGGCAGGGGTCATGTTTAAAGCAGCTGATCTGTATGAAGAATGGTAGGTCCATGACTTGTAATCTAAAAATAAGTCCCCTCCTACATGTCCTAGAAAAGACAGGTCCCGGACCTCAGACTTGCACTATTTTGAACCCATGCATAAATTAAAGGTCCAAAGGGCAAAAAATTTAACTTTAATTTGTATATTGGTATGACGTTGGCGTCGTCGTCGTCTGATGACACATTGGTTTTTGCACTCTAACTTTAGTTTAAGTGTATGGATCTCTCTGACATTGTACCACAAGGTTCCATATCACAAAGGGAATGCTGGGATTGATTTTGGGGGTAATTGCCTCCAAATTTTAGGAATTAGGGGCCAAAAAGGGGCAAAAAACAAGCATTTTTCTAGTTTCATGACAATAACTTGTGTGTAAGTGTACATGTATGGATCTCTCTGACATTGTACCACAAGGTTCCATATCACAAAGGGAATGCTGGGATTGATTTTGGGGGTAATTGCCTCCAAATTTTAGGAATTAAGGGGCCAAAAAGGGGCAAAAAACAAGCATTTCTCTAGTTTCATGACAATAACTTGTGTGTAAGTGTATGGATCTTTATGAAATTGTACTACAAGATTTCATATCACAAAGGGAAAGCTGGGTTTGAGTTTTGGGGTAATTGCCTTAAACATTTAGGAATTAGGGGCCAAAAAACAAGCATTTTTCTAGTTCCCAGACAATAACTTGTGTGTAAGTGTATAGATCTCTCAGAAATTGTACTGCAAGGTACCATACCACAAAAGGAAGGCTGGGATTGAGTTTGGGGGTGATGAATCATAAGGGGGTTCAAAATATTTGGGGGGGGGGGGATTTTTTTTTCCTTTTTTTCTTTAAAATTTTCCATTTTTAATTGGTTAAATCTGATTTATATATAAAAGCAAATAATAATGATATGGTTTGAATAGGTTAATTTAAATTTTTTAAGTTCTTAGTCCACATTCATTCTGTGTCAGAAACCTATGCTGTGTCAAATATTTAATTACAATCCAAATTTAGTGCTGTATCAAGCTTGAATGTTGTGTCCATACTTGCCCCAACTGTTCAGGGTTCGACCTCTGCGGTCGTATCAAGCTGCGCCCCAGCGGAGCATTTTATTCTTTATTGTTCTAAATGATGTTAATAGCAACTTCAATCCATTGCTTTTTGATATTTGATAATACATGCTGTTAATAAAGCACTGTTTTCCTCCTTTCAGCAGTACATTGTGTTACAACAAATGGACAGAGGAGTTGACTATTGATAGTGACTGATAATGGACTGGAGTAACCTAGCGTCCAATGACTCTGAACATGCCTGACAGTACTGGCATGTGTACATGTATGTCGACAGCCAATTCTAAGTAACCTTAAACGTATACATTGTATATACAAAAGACCTACAATAATGGTATGTGTATCTAGTGGTGCAATCAGGGTTTTGTTTGTGCAATGGGGTTTATAAAGGGGTACTTTGAGGGGCAAAAAGAAAAGAGGGTTTTACTATAGAACCCTATGGGATTTTATTTTTTAAAATTTTCAAATGATTATAAATTGAAAACCGTTTGTGAATCTTTTTAATTGAAAATGTTCTAAATGATAAAACCCATTCAATGAAATACAGGGTTAGTCCCCAGGGGTCATCCCCACCCCCTGCCATTTAAGAAAGTTCTAATACCTTGTAAGTGGTCAAAATCCCCACCCCTTAACCATATATATTTTGGTTTGTCATGCTAAGATGGTTTGAATGATAAACAGGGTTAGTCCCCAGGGGTCATCCCGATCCCCTGCCATTTGAGAAAGTTCTAATATCTTGTAAATGGTCGAGATCCCCACCCTTAAACCATATATATTCTGGTTTGTCATGATAAAACACATGAAACGAAATACAGGGTCAGTCCCCAGGGGTCACCCCCACCCCATGCCATTTAAGAAAGTTCTGATATCTTGTAAGTGGTCAAGATCCCCACCCCTAAACCATATATATTCTGGTTTGTCATGCTAAGATGGTTTGAATGATATACAGGGTTAGTCCCCAGGGGTCATCCTGACCCCCTGCCATTTGAGAAAGTTCTAATATCTTGTAAATGGTCGAGATCCCCACCCCTAAACCATATATATTCTGGTTTGTCATGCCAAGATGATTTGAATGATATACAGGGTTAGTCCCCAGGCATCACTAATGCATATAACTTTACTCGACCAAACCAATTTTCACTGGACTTTGCCCCATGTCAGGCGACCCTGGGAATTACGAATTATGGGAGCTTCGTTTGGGAGACTTCGTAACAGCATCCTGTTACAATCATTTCTTGTTTAATACCAGTATTGGTAATATAAATTTTTAAAAAATCTGACACTTATTTTCTCTCTTGTTAAATATTTTTTTTGAAATATTCACCAACATGACCAAGAGAGAACTGTATTGCCAATTTATTTTTATCGGAAAGCAGTGCATCAGGTTCAGGTGTTTTACATGATAATCACCGGAATTTAAATTTTCAGAATTAGCTCCTGAGATGTCAGTGGAATGGAAGTAATGCACATCATATGTTTCAATGAAATTAACATGATTAATGATGGGATAAGACGTAGAGAAGATCCTATAGCTACAGTACATGTACATGTAACTGGTATGTATATTTGTTACAGTATTAATAGTCCAAATGGTATAACAATAACGAAAATACCGAATTCCAAGGCAATTTCAAATAAACTGCTTCGCTGAGCGCAGCTGGATACGCCCTCAGAGGTCTAACCCTGAACAGTTGGGGCAAAAATGGACACAATATTCAAGCTTGATACAGGTCTGAATTTGGATTGTAATTAAATATTTGACATACATCTATTATAGGTTTCTGAATATATGTAGTCAAAGAACTTGAAGTTGGTTATATGAATTGAATTTATATTCAATTAAAGATTTCTTGCTGTTGTGCAATACACTGTGCTGTTGCGCAATACTTAGTAAATCTGTTGTCAGACTATAAACAAATAAAATTTATAAAATTCTAAAGGGAGCTTACATCAATAGATATAAACAGTTCACCAAAGTTTCACACGAATTGCTGAAAGCATTTTTGAGTTTTTGTCTGAAAACTGGAAAATCCCCCCTTTTTTAATGAATAAACCCCATAATTCGGAAATGTAAAATCTAAAATTTATAAAATTCTAAAGGGAGCTTACATCAATAGATATCAACAATTCATCAAAGTTTCATGAGAACTGCTGAAAGCATTTTTGAGTTATGGTCCAATAACTGGAAAATCCCCCTTTTTTTATTATGAATAAAACCCATAACTCAGAAACGTAAAATCTAAAATTTATAAAAATCCAAAGGGAGCTCATGTCAATAGATATAAACAATTAACCAAAATTTCTTGCAAGTTGGTGAAAGCATTCTTGAGTTATTGTCCAAAAACTGGAAAACCCCCCTTTTTTTTATGAATAAAACCCCATAACTCGGAAACGTAAAATCTAAAATTTATAAAAATCCAAAGGGAGCTCATGTCAATAGATATAAACAATTAACCAAAATTTCTTGCAAGTTGGTGAAAGCATTCTTGAGTTATTGTCCGAAAACTGGAAAATCCCCCTTTTTTTAATGAATAAAACCCCATAACTCGGAAACGAAAAATCTAAAATTTATAAAAAACGAAAGGGAGCTCACGTCAATAGATATAAACAATTCACTAAAGTTTTAAGCAAATTGGTTTAAGCGTTTTTGAGTTAATGTCCGACATGTTGACGACGGACGGACGGACAGACGGACGTACAAAGGTATACCATAATACGTCCCGTAAACGGGCGTATAAAAAGGGAAGTCCATGCATATGGTAGTGGCTGCTGGGTTTTACTATTTGTATTATTAAGCTTTACAATGTATATTTCATAGGGTAGTAGACTTGGATGTTTCATAAATTGTATACAGATGCCTTTTGTTACAATGTTTCTGTCCTTCATATGTTGGTTGGGCCATGTTAGATCACATTTTAATGGTTGAGCGACTGCTTGAAAAAAGTTAAGGTTTTTATACGACCGCAAAAATTAAAAATCGTATATTGGTATCACGTTGTCGTCGTCCACACCCCTTTTTTTTTGAAAACTTGTAAACAGTCAGGATCCCCACCCCGAAACCATATATATTCTTGTATGGGACAATAAAACAAATCAAATGAAATAAAAGGCCAGTCCCCTGGGGTCACCCTACCCCCTCCTGTTTGAGAACTTGTAAACGGTCGAGATCCCCACCCCTAATTCATATATATTCTTGTATGGGACAATAAAACAAATCAAATGAAATATAGGGAAAGTCCATGGGGGTAACCCTCACCCCCTTCTTTTTGATAACTTGTAAACGGTCGAGATTCCCACCCCTAAACCATATATATTCTTGAATGGGACAATAAAACAAATCAAATGAAATTGAGGGAAAGTCCCCTGGGGTAACCCCCACCCCCCTTCTTTTTGAAAACTTGTAAATTGTAAAGATCCCCAACCCGAAACCATATATATTCTTGTATGGGACAATAAAACCAATCAAATGAAATATAAGGTGAGTCCCCTTGGGTCACCCCCACCCCCTCCTGTTTAAGAACTTGTAAACGGTTGAGTTTTTCATTATTAATAAGATAATACCACATTGAGGTCCAAAGGGTCCTAAATTAAACTTTTGTTTAATTTCATCAAAAATTGAATTCTTTGGTTCTTTGATATGCTGTTTCTAACAATGTTTGAGTGTTAAATCATATCTAATTTTAGAGAACTTAGTCATCACTGGTTGTTGTTATTATATTATTGATTATAATTTGAAAAATTGCTTCATATCTTATTTTAGAGAACTATTTATCCAGTTTGAGTTATTTCCATTTGCACAGAAAATATTATGGATAAAATTAACCTGTGTTTCATTTCAACATAAATTAAATATATATATAGGGTTCTTTCAAATGCTGAATCTAAACTCTATTTAAATATTAGATTTTTAGGCCCAGTTTTCAAGTTGGTCCAAATCAGGGTCCAAAATTAAACTTTGTTTGATTCAACAAAAATTGAATTTATGGGGTTCTTTAAAATTTGAAATGCTGAATCTAACCATATATTGAGAGATTTTGGATTGTGGGCTCCTTTATCAAATTGGTCCACATTGAGGTCCAAAGGGTCCTAGATTAAACTTTTGTCTGATTTCATCAAAAATTGAATTTAGGGGTTCTTTGATATGCTGATTCTTATATGTACTTAGATTTTGGATATTGGACCAGAATAGGTATTTAAATGTCCAATTTCAAATATATCAGTTCTTTGACTACATTCATTTTGTGTCACAAACCTATGATTTGTCAAATATTCAATCACAATCCAAATTCAGAGCTGTTTTAAGTTTAAATGTAGTGCCCATACTTGCTCAACTGTTCAGGGTTCGACCTCTGCAGGAAAATCCGGTTTGCTGTCTCTCTGACAGCCTCTTGTTTGACAATATTCTGGTCTCAAAGCAAAATATATAGATTCAGTGTAAGACTTTTAGTTTTTAGGGACAACATCAAAAGACCAATATGTAGGACAAAGCAAAAAATGTTTCAGTTTGCAGAAAAACCTTTTATACCTGTCAATTATGTTTTTTTCAAATTAAGTTAAGAGGGGGCTGATTATCATTGATATAACTATGTCAAGTCAGTTTTTATAACACATTTCAATTACAACTTGATGTAGTTCCTAACTGGGATACAATTTAAAGTAGTTTGTAATAGACAAAATGTCCTTAAATATAATAAAACTCGAAGTTTAAAACATAATTACTAAATTACAAATAGAATGCAACACTAATAGAATAGTCATAAAGAAGGGCAATCAATGAACAAAAGACAAACCCGGGAACAGATAAAACACAAAACGACAAACATTATAGACAATCAACAATGAAAAATAAAAATAAATGAGAAAAATGGATCTAAAAAAACAGGGGCTACGTCAGAGGGTGAACAGTACTTGCTTCTTGCAAGACACTTGCCGTGAAAACAATTTGATATGAAGACAAGCTTTTGTTTTGAAATTTCCAACATGAGGCATTTGCCTCAATGTAGTTACGGCCCTGTAATAAAAGTGAGGTAAATGTTCACGAGACAATATACCTCAAGTGAAATGAAACCCATTTTCAAACATTTCAAATACATTAATATTTATATTATTAAAAGATTTGGGAAGTTTTTCCTGAAAAAAATATAAAAAAAAACGAATTTTGGAAGAATCTGGTGCCATCTCATACTTCAAAATAGCATTTATAAAATGGCTTAAAAGACCTGCCAAGTTATTTTCAATACATTGTAAGTCAGGTTATTTATTTTCAAACTACCACAGAACAAACCATTCATTTTTATTATTATCAAGGCTGAGTTATTTATTTTCAAAATGGTCAATTGACCTGATAAGGAGTTATTGCCCTTTAAAGTCAAATTTAACAATTTTTCGTAATTTTTTTTAATTTACAAAAGTCTTCTCCTGAAACAACAGAGACAAATAAACCAAACTTGGCCACAATCATCATTAGGGTATCTAGTTTTTAAAAACATGGCAGATATGGCTAAAAATAGAACATAGAGGGAAAATACAGTTTTTGACTTATATCTCTGAAACTAAAGCAAAAGTATAAAGGTTGCATTATTTCATGCATCAATTGAAAATAAAAATATCAGGTGAGAGATACAGGCTCCTTGGAGCCTCTAGTTTGGTGTTTGCAATAATTGAACATGTTGTAAGGTGCACATGTCTGTCTGGCTTGGTTTATCTGAACTTGACCTTAATATTTGCTTGACAGTATATTTTCATGAATCATTGGTAATGTTAAGTTTATTTGATACTTATCGTAAACTTATAATTATTCTAATATCTTTAGGACAAGCACCATAAAACAGTGGGGACATAAAAATACCTGGAGTCTGTCTATCCCTTTGGCCTTATAAGCGCTCTCACTTGCATGTCTTGTACAATTCTTGTCAAATTTTTAGGAAACTTATTTTGATTGGTTGTATCAACAATGTCTGACAAGTTTTAAAATCAGTGCCAATCAATCATTTTTAAAAGAGTTATGCCCCTTGGAAACATTAATTATTTGGAAAATTGCATTGTTAGGGCTCTTGTGTACAATTCTTGCCAGAATTTTATGAAATTAATATTAAATAGGTTTATATCATCAGAATGATCAGAGCATTTTGATTTTCATCTGTAATGTTTACAAATTCCAGGTTTCATGGCAAATTTCAACCATTATAAACCTCCACAACCTCCATAGCGGTGGTAATCAAAAAGTAGTGCAGCAACAAACAACAACTATTAATATTCCACTCCAGTTTATCCGACACACAATATACATGTATGATTATATACATAGATATAAGAAGATGTGGTATGAGTGCCAATGAGACAACTCTCCATCCAAGTCACAATTTATAAAAGTATATATATATATGTACCCGGTAAGTTTGGATATTAAATTGATGTTATCATTTTTGCTTGAATGGTAAGGCAATATTTAATTTGATGTATATTTTACAAAATAATATATGCTGGGGTTTTTTTTTATTACAGCAAATGTATTCCAAGAGTTTATGGCTGATTATGCAACTACAGGATTTTATCATTGAAGCAACATCTTAGAAGGATAAGTGCAAATGTATGAAGGAAGCCTTGTGTACAAATACATGTAGCAATTACATGCAGGAGAGAACACTTAAACATTACTAGCATGTAGTCATGATATTGGAGTGGTGCATTCTAGAAATCTAAACACCTGGAATTAAATATTGTGTATATTTTTTTTCAACCACAAGTACCTTCAGCATATAATACAATTCATATTCAAATTATTGTGTCAACATGACAGTTACTTTCTAAAAATGGAAAATGCTTGTTTTAAAATGAATTTTATATAAATATTTTAAATAACAAGAATTTTTAGCTTATTGTGCAGCCAAACTTTGAGATCTTTTAATGGTATATGCCTGTTGTTTGTCAACATTTATTTTCTTTTTGACTTAGCCTTAAGATCAGTGTTAATACAACATGTAATATGAAAAACTGAAAACCATATATGAAATAAGAAGGAAATGGTTGTAAATAACAGCAAGACTTTCAATATGGTATATCAAATATATTTCACAGAACTTTCTATTTCAGTTTATTAATACAATGAGATATGAGGTATAAATCAATCAGACAGTAACACAACAACAAAAACACATGAAAGGCATTAAGGTGCTAACATACAGTCCTCAACAATAGACAGGTGTCTAAACAATATGTCATGATCTGTTTAATTGACCAGAGTACATGAGTATGTGGCAGGGTGAACTACCTTTTTTCTTCAAAACTCTCATAAGAAGAATTGGCATCTTTTGCAAGTAAGACTTTTCCATAATGTGATTGGAATGTCTCAAAACTGATGAACACAAAAAGACTTATACATACATATTAAAAATGAAATATACATCAGTGCATACATCTTCTATAAATGAATCACCTTCCATACATCAAATTAAAAAAAAATATTGAGACTTGAATACAACAAAAAATGTTCTAGGAGTGAACTATGGTGCCCTGGATATTTGCTTGCCTTCTTGGTTTTATTGCATCTTATCTGCTGCATTGAAGATATTGTGAGTTGGAGTTGATGAATAAATATTATTTGTATTGTTTAGGACCAAGAAATTTAAGATACATAGAGAAAGTAAAATAGAATGGAAGTATGAATACATCCTCAAGACCAAGAAGAATATTTATATATATCAAAATAGAATGTGTACTAGATTAGCATTTACTTATCTAAAATATGCTCAAATACTGTGAAATTTGTGTGATTGAGACTCAATTCACCTTAATTTCATTTAAAAAAAATAATGTGTAAGCTCGATTCACATTAATTTCACGTGAAAAAATTAACGTGAATTTCACGTGAAAGCTCGATTCACGTTAATTTCATGTGAAAAATTTCACGTGAATATCACGTGAAAGCTCGATTCACGTGAAATTCACGTAAATTTAACGTGAGTTTCACGTGAAAAATTTCACGTGAGTTTCATGTATAAGCTCGTTTGAGGTGAATCTCACGTGAAAAATTTCATGTGAAATTCACGTGATTTTCACGTGAAATTTACGTGAACAAAATTTGCCTGTGTATATTATTACTTCTGACTAAAATGAAAGGGAAAAGATACCATAAAATTAAGAAAAATCTACAATAAAATGCTGAAAATAACTACAACAAAAAATTTCTATTCGTCGTCATCTAGAGTAGAACACTTTTATTTTCTTCTCTGTCTCGTTTGGTGTCCATGCAATTCCCTCAGGATTTTTTGAATATCTTGAATTATATATTTGTAATGGATTCTCGAGATTTGAGCAGCGATTAACTGCTGTTGTCTCTTGTACATCATTTGCTTAAGGTGAATTATCACTATATATTTCCTGAGATTGAATTTTGATATACTTTGCCAATATGGAGATTTTGCCATGCTTTTTAAAAAAATATATAATCAAAATTATGGGTCACCGTGCTATTTTTCAAACTACAAGTCGTCCAAAATTGCCCAATTTTGCATAGATTTTTCATGAAAAAACACCTTTTTTGTCAATAAAAAGAAATCTATTAGATAGAATATTGAAATAAGATATGAAAAGATAGGTTTTATAATATGCTTTAAGAGAATGAAAAGAAAAAATGGTGTCACCGAACCTGTTTTCTTGATACAATTAAAAAATGAAAATTTCACTATCATTCCAGTATAAACAATTTACTAGTACTATTACAGTTATCTCCCCTTATATAGCTAGGTTGAAAAATTGCATCGAACAAAAAAAAAATTAGTATTTGTTGAAACAGTAAAGATAATGCAATAATCTGATTTGTAAAAGATTTAAATGCGTACTGAGTATACATTTTATAAGGGTAGGTTAAGGTGGAGACTAGGAACACTTTCCTCTATGTTTTCTTATACAAGTCAAGGCCCAATCAAGTAACGTGAGTTATCCAATCCGGAGACTGTTATATTTGTTACTGAACGTCATATCATGATATCAGCAGGAAACATTGCGGAAGAGTAAGCTGCTGTGATATTGTTTGTGGTTTCCTTTTCCATTTAGTTTGATAAGACTCTACAAAGGAAATAGGAGACATTCATTCAACCAGTTGTTAATGAGCAGTAGTTATTAACACACTACTTTATTTTGCCACCGAATTATATTTAAAATATAATAAAACTGTTAAGATTTTGTACAGGAAAAGGTTTTTTGTAAACCACTATAAACCATCGATTTATTGCAATGGCATATACTACCGAAATTTCAACTATTACCGATACAGTGAATATCACAAACATTAGAACAGCTTTCGTAAAACCATCGCCTGTTCCATCAGCTATAACATTTACTTTAGGAGTAGTTGGAAATATTGTTGCTATTTTTGTACTTGTTCGGGGTTCTGAACGACATAAATGGAACGTATTTTACAGATTTGTCACAGCATTAGCAATTACAGATTTGTTTGGGATTCTTACAACAGCTCCGGTGGCTTTTGCTGTATATGACAATAATCTAAAATGGGTTGGAGGAGAACCTTTGTGTCACTATATGTCATTTATGTTGATTTTCGCAGGACTAGCAACAGTTTTGCTTGTTGGTGCCATGGCGTTGGATAGGTATTTGGCAATCCTGCATCCATTTAAATATAACTCAGCCTCCAGATACACTATTGTTAATTTTGTTGTATTTGGAATTTGGTTATTTTCTGCGTTAATTGCTGCATTGCCGTTGTTTGGACTTGGTGAAAATGTTAAGCAGTTTCCAAAAACATGGTGTTTCTTTAATTTTTTCGGCGACAGGACTGAAGATGAATTTTATGCCTACTTTTATGCTGCACTCGGACTTGGGACAATTTTTCTAACTGCTGTTTTAAATGTCTGTGTCATACTTGGACTAATAACCGGGAAAAGAAGCCATATTCGTCGCGGAAGCGTTACTAGTCGAAAAGCAAGAGCACGGACGGATGTTTACATCACAATTTTTCTAGTAGCAATATTTGTAGTGTTCGCTGTCTGTTGGGCTCCATTTCTTGTAAGTAAAGCAACTATGAATTTTACAAATTTAAAGTTTAAAAATATCCAGTCGTCAATATTAAATTCACAATCATAATTTGTTTAAAAAAACAACAACAAAGAAACACCCTAACAGACCTCACTATCAGAGATCTGTAATCAGGACATACAATTAACATGTGACAGAGTTTAACATATTTTTTCATAATATTAATGCAGTAAAACACCCAACTCTATGACATATATTGACCTATAACAGATATGCGTGCACAAAACACAGGTACGTAGAAAGCAAAACCGAATTTGACTTCTCTCTGCTACTGAATGTAAGTTGAAAGTACTTAATTAGCTGCTATTGAAATTATGCTGCTCTTCATTTTGATATCGGTGGATGAATTACGAAGTAGATTATTGAATTGTTTTTACAACAACGTCATGTAGGAAAACAAGAATTGTGCAATGCCCAAAGAAAGTTTTCAATACAGTTTCAAATTATAAATAGGAGAATTAAATTATTCCCAAAAACTAGACACAAGGAGAACAGTTTAATTAGACGGTTTATTAATCACATTCTGTTAAGTTGATGGAAAGGTTTGAGGGACAGCTCATTATTTCTTAGCTTTGTATTAAAAGCTGGATCAGAAATTCATCTGTTTTTTTTTTATGCAAATGAAGTCAAAAACATCCGACGTATGTTAAAACGAATTTATAATATCCCTATTGTGAAAAATAAAGATGTAGAATATGTCATTCTCTAACTGCAGTTAAATAGACGTTGTTAGAAATAAATCACTTGAAAAATACTAAGTCGACACAGGTATATACTAGTATACATGTTTATTGAGACTTATGTAGTTTTGGAACCAATAAATTTGATGGTGATCACTCTCCCTTCGGTACGGTCCTTCTGGTATATGTAGTTTCAAAGCATATTGTCAATTTTAACCTAAAAGTATCTCCCCCTTGGGTATAATTCTTGTGATATATGTAGAGTTTTCAAGCATACAGTCAATGCCAAACTATGTTATCAAACAGTCAATAATGCGTCTTGTAAATATAATAAAGACATTGTTGAGTGGTCTCTCAGTAAGATCATGTTGAGTTTTTTGTCTAAGGGTTAAGACAAGAGAATAATCTTAAAAACTTGAGGATCTTTTCAACAAGGGGAGCCTTAGTGGTCATTTACTCTCTAAGATATAAAACTGTGTCGTTTCAAACTGGTTCTGTCTTTTAAATATTAATCCAGCAATACTTTAATTACTATTTAATGACATGCATTTGTGATATAGGGTAGAGTTTATCGATGTTATGCATATAAAAAGTTATATCTGTATTTTGTCCCGTCCTACTTTACATGTCTATACAAAAATTGTATAAATGTTTTCTCATTATATGTATGATATATAGATTTCTCAGATCTGAGTGGTATAAGCCACGAATATATGAGACGACTATATCTGATTTACATAGAAGTAATAAAATAATTATTTTATCTTTTCTTTTGCCCTAAAAGTAGCTATTAGCTTTAATAAAACAGGAATGTTGTCAATAAATAAATTTTCTGGATGCCGCAACACTTTCAGAAGATTTTTTGTTTAGAATGAAATCTCTTTTTTTCTGTCATCAAACTGATACCTTATCACTGCTTTTGTATGGCAATATAAATCCCTGTACTATCTGGTCGTTTTCTAGTTTAATTGCCCTAAAACTGAACGCTTTGCTGACAAATGAGAACACGTCTATGTAAATATAATTTGCAAATTAAGATGTAATTTATAAAATGTTACCTTATAAATCACCAGGATGTTAAGCAAACAAAAATAAATCAATCAACATAAAGCATAAAGCATGCTTAAGCATTTGAAAATTGAGTAGCTATTTGTGATTCTTTTTTATATTAATTTATTCAACAAGCAATATTAGCAAAAAAGGGAACACAAGTAGTTATGTCATTGTGCTTAAACAAACTTGAGTCAAACCTCCGGTCCTGAAACAACTTTCAATGTCTTTCATGAAATTGTTTCGTGTAACTTTATGGACGAAAACAACTGTCATCATATTTTTGATAGATGTAAAATAAGAATATTCAATGATAACTGCATTTGACTGATCTTATCGGACGCATTATTAATGAAAATGTTTACAAAATCCGAATTCAAAAATACATAAACGAAACCAAAAACCTTCCCCTTAAGAAAACACACAACAAAAATCAAATGATAACAAAACAAAACAAAACAAAACAAAACAAAACAAAACAAAACAAAACAAAAACAAAAACAAAAACAAAAACAAAAACAAAAACAAAATCAACAAAAATAAGAGCAGCAAGAACCGACCAAACAAACAAAAACAAACCAAACCAAACCAAACCTAAAAGAAAAACAAAATCAACCAAAATAAGAACAACAAAACCAAGCAATTCAGCAAAAACTAAATCAGTTTCAATATGACATACCAACATTTATGCATTTCTTTTTTTCCAGGTCAGAATTATTATCAACCAGAGTCGTACTGTATCGCGAAACATTAAAGCTGACCTTTTAACCTTACGACTTGCTACCTTAAATCAAATTTTAGATCCATGGGTGTATATTTTGTTCCGGCGTGAGATGTTAAGTAAATTCGCATATTGTTGCAAAACGCAAGGTCAAGATTCATTCTTCAGAAGACTTGTTAGCTTTACTACAGGTAGCTTCAGAAGTAATACACCAACCACTGAGACCAGCACAAATGGGACGCCAGTACCACAGAGACGCCATGTCATCTCATTTGTGGCACGACTTCCCCAAGAAAGTTATAAAGATGACAGCGAAAACAATAATCAAGACGAGACAATAGACGAGACTTTAATGTCACAAGATAATATGTAATTCAATTTATACTCGTAATTGCACACTAGTGATATCAACAACCTTTTGCAAGTCAGTAAATTATGCAAATTGTTCGAGACTTCCAAAGTCCAAAATAGTATCATCATTTTATAAATTATCTTTTTTATTTAAAAGTAAAAAAGTCTAAAGAAACTATAATCATTTTTATCAAGAGTATTCATATTTTAGTTGCGGAAGATTTCATGATATTCTAGTTGACTAGACATGATCGATGGAATGGGAACGGTCAGTCAATCATAATCAATGCTTTATTCTCTGTTTTATATTTATCGTTTACTTATTTACTTTTTGTGCCCATAATTTTAAATTTTCGAATCGCCGCATTTGATAAAGATGGTTTCTAAATGTAAATAAAGTCTCCATATTTTCTGATGGATTCAAAGAAGTATGGCTATTTATTATTTTAATATTATCTAATAGTGATTTAATCCTTAATTATAAATTGTTTTATGAAAATTAAGAACTGTAAATAGTATGATATGTAACACAATAACAACAAGGAGTTGTGGTATGATTTCAAATGAGACATTTCCATTGTTATAATTAAGACCAAAGGACGGAAATGTGAACATACGTCCTTCAACAAAATTTCAATAAAACAATTGAAAAGAGAAAACCTGTTTTATACTACAACAAAAAAATACAAATGGCAGACATCAAACAACGACAATCATTGCCTTACATGTTCCTGGATTTGGAGAGGCTTATAAGGAATGCGGCGGGGCTACCTTGGAAAGGGGCGTTACAATTCAATATGATAATGAACGTGAAAGATCTGTTGGAAAGATCTTGAGTCATCAGATCTGTACTAAGCACAAAAGCAAATAGCAAAAAGACAAAGGACTGTAAAAATCAGTTGATAAGGTCATAAGTCTTCAGATAGGAATAAGACAAAAAAGCTAACAATAAGACAAAAGACATTTAGGATACACTTATAGTATAATAGTATAATAGAAACCGAAAAGCTTAGTTTTCGTAAATCATTAGTTCATTCATCTGGGGTTTCCGTGCGTTTTTGGGGTCACCGATTAGGTTGCTTTTACAAGCTGTACAAGTTGAGGAATCTACAAAGGGTACATTTTCTTACGCTAAATGTTGTTTATTTTAAAATTTTTAAGTCTTTTAAATTTAATTAATATACAAATAAAAAATGTGGTATGATTGCCAATGAGACAACTCTCCACCAGAGACGTAGAAGTTAACAACTATAGATCACCGTACGGTATATTTGCATTCGAAATATACTAAGTTATGTTATTTATTCAAACAGCTTCAATAAACATGCATGGCATTATATTTTGACCACTAAGTGGTGCGTTATTTGTATACAAAGGAGACGGATTTGTAAAAGCAACTTTGCTTGTTTCTGAATCCTAGATATTTATTTCATGTATATTATTAGTAAGTGATAATTTCTTTGAATAAATATTGTTTAAACTAATAAACATGTACAGTTACAAATAAAAATACATGATTAAGTGTAGATGCACTAGTTGACAGTGTTTCCATTATGATTAAGGTTTGTGGTGTGTTAGGAAAGTTATCTCCCCTCGTTACTTATTAAAACGTTTTTAGACGATGACAAATGTCAAATAACTACACATGTTTCAACCAAACGTATTCAAGGGAAAATCGGGTTACTTTTTGTCAAGGCATAAATAATCAGAAAATGAACAAAACAGGGAGGTTAGGGACAAATTTAAACCAGTCGACAAGGACCTGAAAAAAATCGTTGGTATGGTGAGTTTGATTTAGGAAAATGTGGTATACAATGATACAGTCAACCTAGCAAGTTATCTTGAAATGATTGATTCCATTATTTATATGGCCGTTTAGAAGAACATGTAAACTATGTGACATAATGTTTTATGTAAACTATGTGACATAAAGTTTTATGTAAACTATGTGACATAAAGTTTTATGTAAACTATGTGACATAAAGATTTATGTAAACTATGTGACATAATGTTTTATGTAAACTATGCGACATAAAGTTTTATGTAAACTATGTGACATAAAGTTTTAGGTCTTTGGTATCAAAATCAAGCAAATAAAGATTGATAAACATACACACATCTTTTTTGTATTCTTATACAACCAATGCATCACATCGGTATTGTTAAGTTTTGATACGAAACGTACATGAAATTTCCAGCAATCCAGGACTTTAAAATTACCCACAACTTCGTGTCTTCGTTTGTAGGGAGCATTGGCTATTGAACCCTAGATCTTCGGAAATAGATATAAGAAGATGTGGTATGAGTGCCAATGAGACAACTCTCCATCCAAGTCACAATTTGTAAAAGTAAACCATTATAGGTCAAAGTACGGCCTTCAACACGGAGCCTTGGATCACACCGAACAGCAAGCTATAAAAGTACGTTAATAGTGTTTGTCTAATCTCTAAGATGTTTTGTTGGAAAAAAATAGGCAGACCTTAAGAAATAAAGGTCCGCTCTTCTTATCACAGGACATGATAACAGCAAGATTTTTTTTTATGGTTTTTTGAACTTAGAATGTCTAAGAAATGTTGACTTTAGAACTTTTTATGGATTAAGTTGTATATTTGTCATATTATGAGCACATCAGTTTTGTAAGGAAATATTCAAGGACATTGTTTTAACTGATTGTAAAATGAACACTTAGTCGTATTGAGATTCAATATTGAGCTTCGGTTCAGAGAGATCGTCATCGGGTCTGCATGTTTTGTAAACTAAGAGGCATGAAATGTTAACAATCTTAATCAATATGTTGATCAGGCTAATATTAGCTGTAAAATGCATCTTCTTATGACTTTACTGGAATGAAATCTCGGACTAGTATTGTTGGTTACTGAAGGGAATTAAAATACATATTTCTTACATTTAAAGAATGAATTAATAAAAACAAAATCTTGATATTCAATATCAGCTGAACCATTTTTTTTCTTTACCTATGCTTTCAACGATGGGAAAGACTCCTGGAAGTAGTAAAAGGTTAGTAACTTTTAAATTATTATTTTTTTTTTTATATATTCAGGCTTTCTCCTAAATTGTTAAATCATTTGGAGAATTGTGTTTTAAAGGCAGATCTTTTCTGTTAAATCAATTCACAATATTTCTCTCAAGAATATGCTCAGAGGAAGATTATTAATCGAAGAGACATGTGCCAAAATTTATAGTGAAAGTTAAACAGGTAAAAAAGTTTTAATCTTCACTATTTAACCTCCCCTCATAATTTTCCGACTGTAAGCAGTGAATAATTTTGAAGACATGCCGCATCTAAACTCTGATTGATCTACAACTTGTATTTTATGAGTTTTGGCACATACTTAAAAAATAGTCACTAATAAGGAATAAATATTTACAAAGTCGTCATAATTTTATTGCGCACAAAACTAATCCAAATCAGATTTCAATTATTTGGATATTCTAAAATACATTTATTTTTGGCAGAAATTATAAAAAAAATATAATTATCTAGTTCGACTTTGAAACACTGATTTAATATTTTACATTGTACATAAAGTTTTGTCATAAAATGTTTCCAGTTTAAGGAATGAGAAACACTTTCTTTTTCATAGTTTGAAACGACTAAGTTTGTACAAAGTTGCTGATTGGTGAAAATATATAACTTTTTTAGCATAAAATCGTCAAAAATTTTATTTTATGGAATAACTCCCCCCTTTAAAAAATCCCGTATCAGCCCCTAAAGGTAAGAGCGCATTTGAACTGTGCAGTCTCCGTAGCTGTGTATTATCCAGGTTATTGGACAGTAAAAACAGATTTTGCCTATGTCTTGTGTTAATTTACTTCATATAAAACCAATTCTCATTTTTCTTTAACCTGTACCTGATTTTAAACAAGCACATAGCACGTTAAAAATCTCAACTAGCCCGTGTATAAGTATATCAAATTAATATGTTATAATCCTGATATGCATGTAATATCCCTGGATTATAACATTAATCGATGTAAATAACCCAAAGGTACTAATGGAACATGGTTAAAAATTATTAGAAATGTAACTATAGAATCTTGCATGTTGAGGTATAGGGTATCCCTAACCTGGAAATAGAGTGAGATAGGGTATCCCTAACCTGGAAATACAGTGAGATATGGTATCCCTAACCTGGAACACAGTGAGATAGGGTATCCCTAACCTGGAACACAGTGATATATGGTATCCCTAACCTGGGACACAGTGAGATAGGATATCCCTAATCTGAAACACAGTGAGATAGGGTATCCTAAACCTGGAACACAGTGAGATGGGGTATCCCTAACCTGGAACACAGTGAGATAGGGTATCCATAACCTGGAACACAGCGAGATATGGTATCCCTAACCTGGGACACAGTGAGATAGGATATCCCTAATCTGGAACACAGACGAGGAGTAAAGCCAGTTTTCAGTGTATTTATTTGTCTTGAAAAATGTTAGAATTCTTGTTTTTAACACCATTCAGTGTAGACCCGTTCGTGTCTAACATTTAACATGGTTTAAAAAAGTATGAGAACCAGTTCTTCTTAAGACCTTAATAAGATACTGATATAGATTTTCATGAAGTTTAGTCTAGGTGGAGCATAATTAAATTCTGTATATTTCAAAATTACTTACATCAGAAAAAGATAAAACTATTGTCTATTTTTTTGGACTTCAACATCTACCCAAAAAATGCCTATTATTCCAGTTGCCAACAATTCTTGTGAAAGATTAAAAGATACACGTATGTGCATACAAATTGAATATTATTCTCCGTACTTTATTATTTCGTTTTTATAATATTCTGGTTGTTTGTTCATTTGCTTCTGACGCGAGGAGAGTTTTTGCAGCACATTTCCCCAGTATATCCAGAAGTATCGCCCATTGGTGTTCGAGATCCTGCAGATGCATAACTATATATTTTAGACACGAGAAGAACAATAATACAGGTTATAATGCACTGTTCTATGTATCTTTTGCAGTTGAGCAACCGACTCTAACATTTTTATTCGAAGTTATTAACAACCGTATGAATATTCATTGATAATAATGCTGATGTTAACCCGCGCACCATCGCAGGACATACCAATCTAATTATACGTATTCTGTATTGTATACTGTATTGTCTGTGTATGTTTCTAGTTAAGGTCTTTCCTTTTCCAAAAGGGAAAGACCTTACTGTATTTCTTCTGATTATTATTATTATTATTAAGGTCTTTCCTTTTTCAAAAGGGAAAGACCTTACTGTATTTCTTCTGTTTATTATTATTATTATTATTATTATTATTATTATTAAGGCTTTCCACTTTTCTGTGGAAAGACCTATTGTATTTGTTCTGATTATTATTATTATTATTTTTTTTTTTTTTTCCCGCCAAATTTTGTTCTTGCGATAAATGTTTGTTTCGCAATATGTCGCTTAGATATTTCTCATATTGTATCGTATATTTTATGGGCTTTTAAATTTTACCCTGCTAAGCCGAACCATTTTCTTTGTAAGAGTTATCTCCCTATTCACTGTTTATCATCTGTGTGCATCTCCTTCGTAACAAAAAAAGATATCGACAAAATTCTTTTTACAAATTGTTCGTTACATCCTCAGGAAATTTTGGCTAATTTTGATCGAAGCGATTCGATGAAATTTTATAGGAGTTATCTACCTTTATCAAATAAATTTGTCGTTATGTTTTTGTTACTCATAAACTGTAAGCCGTATAAACCTATAGTCTTTTTATTTAAGGTCCTTGGATCCTAACTTCGAAAACGAGGTCAAGGTCAAAGGTCAAGGTCATGTTCTGAATTTTGTCTTTTGCTTGTTTTTCCATTTTCTCCGATATTTTTAGTGTTATATATTAAAGAACAAGTGCAAAATGTTTGTTATATTGTGATGAAGATATGATACATTTAGTCTGAGACAATCCAGCTACATCTTATTGGAGTTACTGTCCCTGAAATGTTTTATTTTAAGGAAAATTGTTTATTACTTCATATTGGTACATGATAAAGCCATATGATCTTTTGCAAAATGTTAGGTGACATATGACCTTGAAAATGTCAACCGGAAGTGACCTTGAGTGAACCGGAAGTAGTCATTTTTGCACTTATTTCATGTAGAAGTACATAGAAACCATATATTTTTTGAATGGTCATACATTAATCTATCATTTGAGACCGGAAGTGATATTTTATAAACCGGAAGTAGCATATTATCTCCCTTTTTACAGGCAAAAGTATATATAAACCATATATTTTTGGAATCAGTGTAAATAAAGCTATCATATGAGACCGAAAGTGACATTTTCTAAACCGGAAGTAGACAATTATCTCCCTTTTTACAGGCAAAAGTATATATAAACCATATATTTTTGGAATCAGTGTAAATAAAGCTATCATATGAGACCGAAAGTGACATTTTCTAAACCGGAAGTAGCCAATTATCTCCCTTTGTACAGGCAAAAGTATATATAAACCATATATTTTTGGAATCAGTGTAAATAAAGCTATCATATGAGACCGAAAGTGACATTTTCTAAACCGGAAGTAGCCAATTATCTCCATTTTACAGACAAAAGTATATATAAACCATATATTTTTGGAATCGGTGTAAATAAAGCTATCATATGAGACCGGAAGTGACATTTTCTAAATCGGATGTTGACAATTATCTCCCTTATTTCAGGCAAAAGTCTATAGAAACCATGTTTATTGAATCAGTATGAAGAAACCTATGACTGGACGCCAATAGTAGCTTTGAGTAAACCAGAATTATCTTCTCATCAATTATTTAGAAAATTGATGTGGAAAGACCTTCAATTGTTCTTTGAACAATTGGTTTTTAATTATTATTATTATTCTTTTTCCGCCAAACTTTGACGAAGTTAGCAGCCTTAACCGTAAGACGTGTCGCTTTCATGTTCACACTTTGTATCGGTGTCATGAATACCTATCCGGAACTCACCTTTTGAGTCGAAAAATTTTGTCGGTTCGGAGTAATCCCTCCGAAACCAAAAAACATTGTTATCGTTCCAACACCGTAACCATAATAGGTAGAAAAAAAAACAAATGGTGAAATTTGTTCAGGACCAGACCCCGGTTCTTCATTACAT